ATAGCAAAGTCAAAAGTATCAATGACAAGCATACAAGGAAGATTGGAAATATATAGTTGTAATATTGGAGCAGTAATGAGTGCCTCCTTCAACTTATCAAAGGCACTTTGCTACTTCGATTTCCATTCAAATGGAGCACTTTTCTCCAATAAGTTTGTCAATGAGACAATAATGTATACAAATCAGCAAGGCCTAAAAATGGACAGACTTCAAAAGCATCTTTAGAGATTGGCCAATCTTCCACCACTTTTACTTTATCTTATTCCATATACATGCCTTTGGACGACACTACATGTTTCAAAAAGGTGACTTCTAACTTCCAAAGTTCACATTTTGATTGCTTGTAATAAAAACAACTATCATGTAGCTAGCATAATACTTCTTATAGGTCTTGCTCATGCTCTTTAGGAATTTTATTATATATGAAAATATCTTCAATGAAAACAATTACATACTTATCTAAAAGATCTCAAAATAATTTTTTCATATAATCCATGAAAGAAACTGGAACATGGTTGAGACCAAAAGATAAAACCAACTATTTAAAATATCTACAACATATACAAAATACTTGCTTTTCTACATTCTTTCTTACAATAGGTATCTGTCAATAGCTACTTCAAAGATCCAATTTACTAAAGACAATCACACATCAAAATTGGTCAAGAAGATTATCCATGCATAGAAGTGGATATGCATTTTTAACAGTCTCCTTATTGAAGCCTTGATAATTGATACAAAGGTAAATTCTACCATCTTTCTTAGGTGCAAAGAGTACAAGTACTCATTATAATAATGTGCTTTCTTGAATGAGGCCTTCCTCTAAGAGTTTATCCAATGTCTTCCAAAACTCTTCAAGTTCTTTTGAATCTAGGAAATAAATTAGTCGATTTGTTGGTTTAGCTCCAAACAATAGTTCTATTTAAAAAGGGGTACCTTAATCAAGAGGTACGACACTAGGTAGGTCGGTTGGAAAGACATTTTAATATTTCTATATGAATTATTTACCTTATTATACTTCTTTGGCTATCTTGCCCACCACTGATGCAAGATTTGAAACCACCATATATACCAATTGCTTATGCTATATTTGCTTCTTCATAAAAGTTATTCCGATAAATAAGTCTTTGGTTGTAGATTGTCTTTTCTCTTCACTTAATGTAGAGGTACAAAGAATCATCTTGCATCCACCATCTTAAAAGAGATTATCCTTGCTATACAATCAACTTGCTTATTTTCCATCTTTAGCCATGGTATATCAATGATAACATCATATCTCAGCTTTATCACCTTGAATTTCTTTTTTAAAGCATAGGTGTCAATTAATCTCAAGGTTTATTCTTCACATGTCTCACTCAATATGTTCTCTTGGTCATGTGCAAAATATATACTTCTTCTCTTGATTGCCTTAATTTTAATTTCAAATCTACTAACAATTTTATTTGAAATACAATTTTTTGTAGAGCCACAATCTACAAGTACTTGACATGGTTGTCTTCTTAATAGTCCCATTAGATACACAAGTCAACTCTTTTATACTTGTCCATGGCCATACCATTTTTCTCTCAAAGATAGTAGCTATCTCCAATATTGATCTTTGACACTTTTACTAGAGAGTCCCATTTTCCTACTTTATTTCATTATCAATTTGGTGAGTTTTGAGACTATGAACTTACCTTATTTTGCTAATACTTAAATTTTGACATTTTGAAGAATCTTAAATATAATGGTCTGATTCCCAACAATAGAAATACAATTCTTTTTGTATCAATATTTGTTTACTTTGTGATGTCAATGATCTTTATAGGACATCAATTTCTATTGGCGTTGATTGTTATGCCATAGTATTAAATAGTGGCATATGACTTTGTACTATAGGTCATACTCTATGATTTCTAAATTCTATAGTATCAACCCTCTCTACAATCCAAATTTCTTCTTTGAATGTTTGTAGATCCTTTAGTTCTACCTCTCATTGGACCTCAAGTTTCAAACCTCATAAGAATTGATCCATCATCTCCGCCTTGAAAACATTGCTAATTTGGAGATGTAGGAACTTGAATCAAGAGACATAATCTTACATCAACTTAATTTATGCAAGGCTTGTCACTTGATCATGTGTTATCTTCTCCGCATTGATGGACCAAAATTGATTCTTAAACTTGGTTTCAAACTCCTTCTAATCACGAAATCTACCTTAAGCTCTATAGTTTTGAATTTGATGTTGCTACCAAATGGCTATTCCATGTCTCAAATAGTTGGCTGCATACATAATTCTTTCAGTGATATTTGTTCTAGATAGTTGGAGATATTGTCGTATATTGAAGAGCCATTGACATACATCTTCTCATCGTGAAGTCCTAGAGTATATACTAAACTTACTCAATTTCAACTTAGTAGATGTCAACTCCCTTATCCTCAAGGCTTCTATTTATCCTTACAAAGTAGCTATCTAGCCTAAGAGGTGTTGTATTTGAGTCCCCATCTGAGATTGCTCCGTTATATCTCTCATGTTGTAATTTTTATGGTGAATTCTACTATTGTAATGCCTTCTCACCTCCCAATTGAATTTTAAAGAATAGCCTATTGTAGCCTTAATACAATACTTAATGTGACCACAACAATTGACCTTAGACTTGATGATGACTATCAACATACTACTAAAGAATAGTCTAACACTTGCTCTACTATCAATAAAACATAACCAATCTATCTCAAGTATCTAAGGTCCTTCTAATCGATAGCAATATAAAACCTCATCATAAGATATGATAAATTAGACCAAAATAAAACTGAATAGATTTAAATAAAATAGAACATAGAAGATAAAATTGATTAATCAAAATTAGAACAAAATAGAACAAAATAGTAAGATACAAAATCCAATTGTATTAAGAAAAAGGATCTAAAGCCATACTTGACCAAATGCCTCAAAAGGCCCTAGCCAGTCTTATTTGTACTTTGTTCTACTACCTTAAATTTTTTAGAATATTCCTAAATGATGGATCCTACTTAGATAATTGCCTTAAATTCCTTCTAAAAGTTTTTATGATAGGAACTACTTAAGTAACCACCCTGAACTCTTTCTAAAATATTCCATAGTGGATACTAGCAAGTCCACTAACCTAGCCTCAATTCTAAAAACTTCCATAACTTCTCAGACATGGTTCTAACTATTTATTCCTGTGTATCAATAATACAACTATCTTATCCATACCTTGTTACAATGAGGCCAATTTGTTGAATAAGTTTGTAGCCTATCAATTAATTATTAATACATATAAAATCAAAGCAAAAACTATAAAACTTTTAAAATATTTTTTTAGAAGATATTATAAAATTAATCTATTTTTATATACTTCTATTTAATCATATAGATTATTATTGGAGTAAATATATATGTTTATAAAAGATATCTCTTATTTAATGAGTAACATTGGTTGTTTCAAGTCTAAGTTTATACATGCTTATTGCAACATTGTTCAAAGAATTTTTTGATATCTACATACTACTCTAGATTTTAAGTTGGTTTATAGTAGTATTATGTCTCCAACCTTACTTTCTACTTATGCAGATATTCATTATGTAGTAAATGTTGATGACAAAAATTCTTACAATAGATACGTTCTTTTTTGAATATTTAATTAGTTGGTGGTCAAAAAAGCAAGCATGCCTTCTTCATAGTAGAATATATTTTTAGTATATTACTTGTTATATGATGACAAAAAAAATCATATGGTGTTAAAGGCTCTTTGTTGATATAGAGTTTTGTCAAGATATAGCTACAATCTTATACTCTGACTTTCAAAGTGCTATCAAGCTTGTACTTAATCTTGAATTCTATTTATAAACTAAGTATGTAGATATCAAGTATCATATAATCAGAGAATAAATTCAAAATAGACTTCTACAAATTGACTACATCTCTATTAATGACAACATTGCATAATATTCATAAAACTATTAATTCTAATAAAGTTCAAGAAAATGCGCACTCTTTTCGTCATATATTGAAGATGATATTTTACTTCTCTATTAAAGTAGGAGAATTACTTTTTATAATCTAGATAAAAAAATTATCTTTGTAGTAAGATTTTGATAACTAGAAATTTATTACTTTAAAGTATAACTTCTCTTTGAACTATAAATATGAATTTTGAAAATAAAGTGATTTATTATACCTTGATAAATGGATGTGGAGTGATGAATTGTGCATACTAAAACAAAACTTCATGCTTCATACTACATTGCTCCTTCTCCTTCATGTCTCTCTTTGTGACACTAAAGATGATGGTTCCAAGCATGAATCAAATCTATCAACAATATGAGCATCATGGTCTTCTAAACTTCTTACAACAATCATTTCTTTTAGACACACAAATATGGATATATATATATATATATATATATATATATATCTATGTACATATACATATCTATGTATATATATATATATATATACGTATACACGCATATCTATATATATATATATATATATATATATATACTAGAGAGTAGGACTTTTGCATTCAAATAATCAACCTAGGATACACACATATGAACTTTGTGAGCAATTAACTTATAGTGAGCAATATTTTGAACAAAAGCATAAAAGTAAAAAAGATTATTATTTTTATTATTTTTAAATAACAAAAAAAAAAAAACCAAAGTTCTACATGATTGAAGCCATAGTTACCTATTTTTTAAACCAAAGTCAAACATCTCATGTATATGGTGTTTGTGTCTCATTTTGTAATATATTGGAAGATCATATATTCAATTTTAAAGAACAAAAAACTTACAAAAAGAAGTAATACATATACAAATAAATATACAATATTCATAAATATTGTAAACTCTAATTAAAAAAAATGTTTTTATTGATGAAATATACCCAATTTTTTTGAGTTTATACATATAAATATATACACAGCAAACAATTAGCAGATAATCACATCATCAGATTTATTGCAGTCTTCAAAAACTAAAAAAGCTTTTACACACTGAAAGTTTGTGTCATATATTAAACATAAACACTGACAGTTAAACATGAACTGTTAATCCTCTACTATTACAACAGTTCAAAATCATACATAAAAATTACTACGCAGAAAACACTGCTATGACAGTCTTATAACACACACATCTAAACAACAAACTCAGATAAGATGTCTAAACCTGCACGTAATGGAGCTCCAGGGGCTCCATCGAAGGCACGGTTGATCAATTCAACCTACATGACCATTGGTGTTGTGTGGGTGCATAGATTTCCCAGTCTGATGCCGACCCTTCGTGATGGGTAGTGCATCACCATCTAGAACTCTGGTTGAAACTGATGTGAAGGCTGTGGGAACCGAAGCATGCAACGCACATGGCAGCGTAACGGTAGAAAATATTATGAATCTTGCGTATGATGCGGCTGGACTCCCACTTGCATATCTGTGTTGTGCTCACAGTTGCCCCAGTCTTCTATAACAGAGGTTCACACCCAATCGTATAGTAAGTGGTCTGCTTCAGTCGCACAAAACAGTGATACAAGACGTGGAATTGACCTAGTCCATTTTGACAAGTCCTTCGATCTTAAGCACCCACAAGAAAGTTTCCCAGCAACGGTACCGAGAAACCGAATCAGCAAAGCAGGAATGATAATTCCAACTAGATAATGGAACTGTGGTATTGTTCATCGAACACAACGACCGAATACTTGCTGTCGCTGGTGCAAGACATCACTTCTCTGCAACAACTGTTCTTATGACTCACCAATTGGAATCAGGTTTTTATTTTCTGCAAGAAAAACGGAATAGATGACGATCAGTTGGATAGGTCACGTACTGGATCTTTTGTCAGGCTGATGGTCGTCCTTATTGCAGCATTGAAGCTTATCGCGATGTGGAAAACCTAATTGTGATTCTCGGCGGATGGCCTCCAGTGTGATTAATGCTTCTTCAAATGCAGACTTGGACGTGCACCTTACATATGGTACAACATTTTCCTTTCGGCAAAAATCAAACTTCGAGAACTACAACTAAATATTTACTGCAGAATCAGCAAACAAGAACTTAAGACAGTTGTACGAAATGTACGAGTAAAAACTTCCATGAGTCAGAATTTTCGTCACTGATAGTTTATTTTTCTAGTAGTGAAATGAGCCAGTGTTTACTTAAAATAAAAAAAATTTAAAAGAACTTAACCTTGTGGCATTAATCGATGGTTCTCAGTAATTCGTCTTTGGAACAAATTAAGAATTCCGTCTAACTACTCCTTCTCACTCTTGAATTTTCTAGACAATAATTCCATTGTAAAACGTCGTGAACTGAGATACATTATCTCATTATTCATCAAAATAACAAACGCATAGAGAGCAGATAAATTATACAATGTTTAATGCTGTATAATATAAATGACTATTTGTATAAAAATAATATCTCCAAGAAAAGAAGAGAAAAAATAACACAAGGGGCCAGTATGGAGAGAGAGAGATAGCTTATAACTTATAGAAAGGAAATTAACTAAGGAGAATTCATATACGATAACACTTTTTTTATCATGCTTTAAAGACAACTCTACGAAAATCCAACACGTGAGAGCAAGTGATTGAGTAACTCAAACATTATGTTTAGTTGTGGCTTGAACTGGAGGACTATTAGTTTTTCCTCGAGCTAATTAACCAACTCACAGGCAGACCTTACGATTAGTTTGCTATGATAAAAATCCACTTTGAAATCTCTAAAAATAAAAAACTAAAAGTAGTAGAAGAAGGAGAAAGAAAGATAGAGAATAAGAGTTCGTCATGAAAGCTACATTGAGGTCTGCATCGTTATATGAGTTTATTTAATGGTTAAATACATGTACCCCGAAATGAAAAAGTCTCGTTGAAATATAACACCAAAACCATCGCTAGTGTTTGTTATTTATACAGGCTTCCTTTTCCTTTATATTAGTTGTTGAAACTAGGTATTTATTACTTTGGTTGGGGTGGTAGTTTACTTCGAGTACCGTCAGAATTGAAAGCTGGGTTTCAATTACACACAAGCAAGTTCCTAATGCAGATTTATGACATGGAAAGGTGACAACAAGTGACGTCAGCGGTCCTTCAGGCTAAGCCTAGTCGAAGCTTCTTGTCAGAGAATAAATTAAAAGAGGTTTATCTTTTTCCAGATCGATTACGTGCATCCGACGAATGACACACATGCAACCTACTTTCTCGAAAAGAAACCACCGCATAATTAAAGGGTGCACCGACACAACGAACCTCGTGTCGTGTGTCCCGCAACGTCTGTACATTCAGCATTGAAGGCACAGTAGCTTGTTCCAAACAGTTGCGTAGGCCGACCCAATATTCAGAACAAGATTCTTCCATGTTTTCAGGCAGAAAGTGAATGACTGGCAACTGATGTGGACAGATTCGCCTAGTTGGTGAGGTCCTCGCGTATCCACTTAGCCCCTAACTATGGGACTTTATTAAATATGTTACGCCTCCATGACGACATCTCCGTGGCGTAAGCGATTCCTACTGCCATGTTGCTCCGAAATGACGTCGATGCAATTCAGCTCCAACATCAGACATTACTCGAGTTGTAGACAATTATTTCTTCAAGACTTTTACTGTGCTTCACTCGTAGACTTTGCAGTAAGACTAGTGGTTTGGGTCGGTTACTAATCTCTAAGAGGGAAGTTGTCTATGTAGTCTTAACGGAGCAGCGCCTACAGTGCAGAATTCAACCTTGGGTCTCCAACTGTGATCCATAACAGATTTTGGCTGGCCAGAGCATCCAGCGTATCACGGAACAACTGGAAAATATTGTCAAGTGTTACGCGAGATAAAACTTAGAGAAGAAGCCTGAAAGAAAAGAAAAGGAGAGTAAAAAGACTGAAGCACATAGCGATTGCACACGTTGTCAGTAAAGAACCTTTTTCCACAGAATCCAAACAAAGTCATGAGAAAGAAGGCGATGTAAACAAATGAGAATGATAATTGTAGGTTATCGCTTGCATTGTCTCAAATGGGACTTGAAGGTCATTACTCTAGAATCTCGCTTGCCTTTTGTTTGGGATCTGGACTACGGAGGCCTCCACGAAGGGATCATCTTAGGTGCGTCATTACGATAGACACGAGTTGTTTCGAAGCACTGACCTTCAGATCCCACCTGAGACAACGCAAACCATTAGCCAAGCTGAGGTAACAAAGGTTGTGGTCTGCATTTTCCAATATGATACTTGAGTCTTGATCCTGAATCTCAAGACTGAAGCTCATAGCGATTGCGCACGTCGTAGTAACGGTCGATAAGTCTGTTACATACGGGCATCAGTAAATTCTCACTGAGGTCAAGTAGGAGCTCTCATAGAAAGCTAGCTTCAGAGTAAACGCCGCTGTCGCAACAAGGTTTTGAGAGCTATACAAACAAGAGTAATTGTTAAATGGTGAGATCATCTAAATACTGAAGAAACTTTTGAAAAGGGGTTTCTAGGCAGTGATTGACATGAATGAAGGATTCATAATATGGATAGTCATAAAGGCCAGCGCTTGCTTCGCCTCTCTACGGGGACCGCGGTGGTAATCGGTAATCAGAAATTCATTGAGTAATTCGGTGAGCAAAATTCAACTTCCATTCACAAGCCTGAATAAATTAGCTCATGCCATGGACTCAATGCAGGTTGATAGTTAAAGAACAATTTAACAGAGTATCATGAACAAGTTTAGGGGAATCAATGAGACAACACAATTAACGGCCAGATCAAGAAAACTAGCTTGTGGTAACTAGCCTAATGACTTGATAAATCATATCTTAGGATCATGAAGAGTTGTACCGTATTGCAGATCAGGAAGAGGACAGAACGCCCTATGAACCATTCCTGTGGGTAGCCACTGACCGCTCATGAAATCTAAGTAGTGTTGCATTTCACGATTAGTTAGCAGTTGCAAGTGATGGCGTACCATTGCAGGCTAAATATTGGTGAATCTTTTTGGAGGATTTGAACTAGCTTGAAAAGTGTGAGATAAAAAGTGTTCATGGTTATCACTCTAAAAGTTAAGGCAGGGAAGCTGCTGAGGAGCCTGCTCTGCACATCAGTTCGTCACAACAACAGGTTAAATTATATCACCTGGTGGTAGAACGAGTGATGCCATGCAGCATATAGATTAGGCAGAAAGAAGCGTAAGGCACCTGTTAACAATATTGGATAAATAATCTAGTATTCATGTCTTCAAGAAAATTATGCTCCTGGCTGAGAACGATGACATTCGCAGGTGGAAGTGGATAAGACGTACCTCTAAGAAGTGATTCGTTTAAAGACGCGTACCAGAGACAAGGGCTTGCGGACGTCTTATGTGAAGAATATCTGCTCAAGTTCGTTTGGTAGTGTTCTCACTGCATGGCCTGACTCCGCAGACGGTACCCTCCGTTGTTCTCCGTTGTTCCGGAAATCACTGGTTCTCATTCGATGACGAGGGGCAATACAGTTAATTGGGTGCTCATTTCAACCCTAATCATCAACCAGATAAGAAATTATTGGAGCGGAACGTGTGACTTAGATAGTAAGAAATAATCAGAATGGAATCAGTGCTTTCGGGTAATGGAAAGAAATGACCGGCTACTCTGAAGATCATAGGCAGGGCAGGACGCACTCGATTGTTGGCGATACTCACAGAATGCTTTGCTGTGATTGACGAAGCTCCAGAAAGAAAGTAGAATGACGTAACCCGCCTGAGCGTCCGAAGTTGACAGTCCCTACGTGTGGATGCATCAGAATTCCTCGCGAAGTTCCTGCTGATAGTGGTGTTGTGAGGCTTCGGGAATCGAAGTGGAGAGGATGACCAAGGGTTTGAGTGAAAGGAGAGGCAAGGCTTCATCTCTATTAATCTCGTGTTAATGTAACTTCTGTATGGACAGAACAGGTTACTAGCGTGACTGGGATGTAGGGTGGAGTTTGCAGGTTTAGCCACTGTAGCTCAGTCAGTCGGGGATCAGGCTAGGGTTTCTCTGCAGGATTATATGGTGGGCTAGTAAAAGCTCACATCGTACTTGTTATGATGTATTCTACTAGCAAGCTTCAAAGGCTCATAGCGTGGTTTTAAGGGACGGACAGGACACATACTTTCTAGTCAAGTGACCCCATCCCAATTGCCAGTATCTATCCCAGTTCACAATCTCTCCAATTCCGCGAGCATGAAAAATCGTCATAGTGGATTCTGAACAATTGCTTCAAGGAGCTTCAGTCGAAGTGCCAAAATTCGCGCCAGTGCGCTTTGAGGTTCAGAGAAGCAGCATGAGCGTCCAGACTGATTCTAGATGAAACATCGAAGGCTCAAACCTTCGGTGAGAGGGTCAAATTACAGCTACATCACGGAACAACATTCTGTGGAATATTGCCGTAATTTCTTTTGGATACCGACAGAAGCAGTACTTTGGATGTTCGGACGGAATGTACTTTTAGAAAAAATTCAATGCTACCGTACTATGCACTGCGATAGGATTTTTTGTTTCATTTTAAGTCATGTAATATGCTGATATTTTAAAGTTATAGTGCCACATAAGAATGAAAGTAATTCTTTTAAGTTAAAAAAACATAGCTCGCTTGGTGTTGTACGTGTGGCCTTTAAGGAGGTACTCAAGCATATCCAGTAACAAGTGTATTTGGGGTGGAAGATTTCCAAGATTCATGTTGCATCTGTAAAGTCATCAGTATTTGTATTTAAATTATTTATTTATATAGCGTCAGTTCACAAAGAAGCACACTTTGGGTAGATACGGTTCAAAATGAGACGGGTGGGGATGATGATGATGGCTCTTTTCCATGATATTTAGAGGTTCAGTTACAAGCTGAAGACCACCTCGAAAATAGATTATATTGAGCCGCAACCACAGCAACACAGAATATATTTCCCCCTGTATATGCTGGTAGATTCCACCATGACTTGTGGGTTCAAAAGAAAATAACATTTAGCCGAGTAACCTTTCAGTAATGCTGTGAAGTTTCATTTACATGTACTGTGTTTCCTATTTTTATCACGCGCGAGATTTGTAAAATTACCTCTCAATTACATGGATATATATATATATATATATATATATCCATGTGTGTATCCCCAACGACGATTTTTTAGCAAGCTTGTGGGGGATACACCACCATCCTCAATCCATCCGGTGTATTTTGTGCATTCCAAGTCCGCTAAGGCTGCAGAGGACAAGTTTGGTGTAGGCATAAACTTTTCCCATATTCTTTACAAAACAATCAGGGTTTTGCTTGAAAAATCGGTGACCTACAACACCTCGGGGAGTTTTGACTGCACCGACCTGTCTTTCAGAGTGTAAGGAGTTGAACACGTTTAAGTTCAGAAGGTTTCGGCCGTGGTAGCCAGACTCTCGGCATTGTCACTTAACAGGGAGCGCACTCATGGTTTAGAAAAGAGTTAAGCGGAGGATTTTGTAACCGACGAGAAGACCTATTTGCACAACCAAGTCGTATTTGGAAGTTAAGTTACGAAGAAACAGACGACTAGTTGAGAACACTCATGTGGAGGTAAAGTTTATCGTTCTACACGTCGTGTGTGAAGCTTCACTAAATACCCAAGTTAATCCGCTTGTGTTTGGGTGATATAACTACGACTTATATTTCAAGTTACTTCAGGCACCGAAATCTAACTTGTAAGATGTTATTTTGACCTTACGATTCCAAATCCGTATGAAATGAGAAAACTAAGGTTCGCGTGAAGGTATGTGCTGGCATACGGATTCAGAAACCTCCATCCCCACGTTACCGACCCAAGAACCCCCAAACTTGGACGTCTCTTTATCATTAGGTCAAAGGGACTGCCGGCGCTGTGGCGCGAGGGACCCTCAAAAGGTAGCCGGCTTAAACAACCCCAAGTAAGTATCAACACTCCTCTCATCTACCTCTATTGCAGCAGAAGAATTAACTCCGGAGGAAAGGCTTTCTAGATGTTTTCCTTTACGAAAATTTTCATGTGAATATTGTTCTATAATTAATGAGTCCTGCTCACGTTCTTCTTCGATCGAGCACATGGTCTCTATCCATTTTCTTGGTGTTGTTGGTTATGCCTTACTGATCCATGTGAAAAGATCGAAATAGGTGTGTTTTCGTGGCGCACTTCAACAGATGAGCCAACTACTGCTACTGGACAAACTGTGTGAAGCATAGCTTGCGAATTGACCATCACTCAGAACCGGAAGCTGTCCACTTAGATTCTTTTACCTAGCACCTACATGCCTTTGTTGTATCCTAGTGGTTTCTATCCGCAAGGTACTGGTAAGGTTAACATTTTAATGTGTTGATCGCATACATTAGCTTAATCAGAAAGAGTTATCCCGCAGAAAAGAAATTCATATTGTTGGTTTACTGTATTCTGTGCTTTACTGACATGTACGAGTTTGAAGTGCTTTCGAGTCTTAATATTCAAAACATTATTCCCTCTCTTTTCTTTATATCGTAGTTATAATTTTCTAATGTCTAGAAATAAATCTTCGACGTGTTCCAATTCCAGCTGGTGTTGTTGTCGTCGCCAGTTCATTCTGATACATTCTGGTCTCATGGATTTGTACGTGATAAGTCATGATGACTGAGCTCAAGCCCATTAGTAATTGACTAACTGGAAATAATTTCACGCCCACGTCATTCAAGGCGTTCGGTGCTGTCCTGCTTCCAAGCGGTGACTAGATTGTGTGGGGTGCATCTCTAGATTCTAACTGTGTGGCCGGTCATGATGCTGGCATACTGGGAGGACAGTCATAGTATAAGTGGAAGTTGAATGTGTAAAATTAAAATGTCAACCAGCTCTCGAAATGAAGAGCGTGCAGGTATCTATGCTATTTCTGTTGTCCATCTGTTCAGAAGTTGTTTAATAGGACGCGTTAAGTAGGAGCAACGGTGCAACAGACCTGTAGATTATGGTGCTGGTTTTGTCACTAATCTCTGTATATCTGGCTTCCTAATTATTACTTAATGCTGTTAAGAGATTTATCCTGCTGGACCTTTTTCAAGTTGTATATGGTATTCAATCTCTTGCATGTTGCCTACCGCAAGAGTTTTGTTTGTCTATCTGTTGTCTTGCACTTTTTCAAATCTAAATGAAGTTAATCGCTTGGCCGGAGTGCCCAACGAGTTCATCGCCAGGTGAACCGCATCCATTGCTCGCTTTCAGATCGAACTACTGATTCCAATGTTTGTATGCTCGTTTTTTCAGATTAGCAAAGCAGGGTGCAAGCACCACAAAGATACGCTGACTCAAATCGCCACTTAGCGATCTTATCACCGTTTTAAGGTTGTGCCTAAGCTCGAACGAGGTTGAAGACACTGTAATGAGTCCGTTCTCTAGTAACGAATGTGATGCGAGTTGGCCTTCTACGTCTAGCAAGGAACATGAGGAATCGACGAGCCCTAATTCCAAGGGCAAGGGGAAAAAATCTAGCTTATCACCGGATTCGGACAAGGAAATCGAAGTCTCAAACAAACTCACTGTCCCTGAAGTTTCTAGTTTGTCATTGACAGACTCCCAGCAATCTTTGGAGAGAGGGAGCTCTTCCAGCTCAATTTTCTCCGACATCAATGGACTATCAACAGAGAATGTTGAAAATGATTATCTTGATTCTGATTCTCTCGATTCTGATTCTCTCAATTCTGATCTTCTTAATTCTGAGTCCTTCAATAACACACAGGTTTCTGGAACTCCCGTAACTGCATCCATACTCACCGGGGCAGTATCGCAATATGAGACTGATAGCTTTGCGAGGTTTGATCTCTCAATATTCTTGCTCGGATCTGCCATGTTTAATCTACGCATTAAATGACTGAGAGTTCACTGCTGCATTATTACCAATTTAACCCAAGTTTTTTTATCCACTACTTATAAATTAGCTTTGAATTTTATGGATAATAAATTTGATTTTAATATCCTTAGTTCCTTAAGCGGTAAGCACAAAGTTTGGTCAGATTTTACTCGCCACACTTCAGCCGCGATTATTCTTCAAGGTTATAAATTGAACTCCAGATTGAGCATTATCTAGGCCCTGACAGTGTGATTCATTTCTAGTTGTCAATATTTTAAAATGTCGTTCGCAGTTCCGATTTTTCTTAAAAAGAAAGAGAGGTTATATATACATATGTATACAAATAGTTTTTTATTTTTTATTTTTTAATATCATATATATATATATATATATATATATATATATATATAATCTATTTTTATTTTTATTTTTGTATGTTAGGCAAAGATTTGTTTTTGAGATTGAGAGTTCTAATCCTATAATGGATGATCAGCAGTGCGGTATCAGAACCCGCCCAGTTGGAGTCCAATGTTGTGAGGACCATTGTTTCTATATCCTGAATTGTGCTCCTCTGTGACAGGAACGATGAAGTTGAGCATCTTAATCTGGAATTGGATGCAAACACTGAGAATATGCAGGAAACTACTCATGACGCCCTCGATCCAAACTCGATTGAAGTTTACATCAAAACTGTAATTCACTCCACCTGAAACTCCACAGTGGATCCATGTATATCAATCACTAAATTAGATGTAGGTGTTCAGTCGAATAAGTTTACAAATGTGTGATTCTGTGGTATCCACTCCGTCAAACAGTTGTTCTTTCTTTCTTTGGTAATTGATAATAGCTTGCCAATGGTGAGACTCGACTCTGCTGCAAGAAAGGCTCGTGCCCAAGTTACCAAGTTCAACCTTACCCTGCATGTATGTGATACCTATGTTGTGGTTTGATGGTCTGCAGAAACCATTGAGAAAATTTGAGGATCTTTCTGGCACCGAGTCAGGCTGTATTCCAGGCGCTATTATGGGTCATTTTATTGGTATTTCAGGCGATATTTTTGACCGTTCTACATGGTTTAATCTAAATCTTGATCGAACGGATTCTCCCTTGGTCTCATCACGTGGCATCACCATCCCTAGTTTTGACATGGGCAGTGGCGAGTTACGCTCACAGCAAGCACTGATGATCTCAGGGAGACTGAACTTATGGACGCTGAGGAAATTATCGACTAAAAGTTATATATATATACACACATACTGTCTGCGGCACCTTCTATTCTGCTCCACTCGTCTCTTATTGGTAACTATCACTTTTACATTATTCCTCGAGAGATGAGATATTTTTTTCAATTTTGGGAGTGTATCACTTTTACATTATTCCTCGAGAGACGAGGTATTTTTTTCAATTTTGGGAGTGAAGATATATTTTTATTGGCTTATCTTCTACAGGCGCTTCACAAGGAGGTTGAAAGAGTACAATACTCAAAGAAATTAACAAATATTATCCATAGTTTGTTATAAATAATGTTAAGTTTTATTATTAAAAAATGAAAACTTATTAGGAATTGTGTGAAGTTCTATTATGCAAGAATATAGGATATATATTAAAAGTAGAAACATTACAACCTAAAGACTTGATTGCTTATATTAATAAAATAATATTTATTATTAATAAGTATATTTTATTAGAAGCATTGAACATATTTTAGAAATTACATTCTCTTAATTTCTTGATTTTTTATATTTATGGTCTTATGAATTATTTTAAACATTTTAGAAATCTCATTCTTTTTATTTCTTAGCTTTTTAAATTACATATTTTTATAGGTTATTTTAAATGAAGAAATTTGAAAAAAAATTGATTAGAACTTCATGGCTTGAGAATATTGAAATTGAGAATAAAAGTGGTTACATTGCTATCTATTTCAAGCTAAAAATTAGATGAATTATATTAATGGAGTAATTATTTTTTGTGATAATGACAAAAAAAAGGAAATACAATGGATGGAAAAAGAGATTTGCAACAGGTGACAAAAAATGTATAATGGGTAAAAAATTATAATAAATTTGGTAAAAAAGATATATGCCATGGATTGAAAAAGATAATAAAATATAATGATTTATGACGAGATATTTGAGGAAGATATATCAAGCCAAGGGCCTAACAAGAAGATGACTTAAAACATAAAAAAATATATATTTAGTTAGAATCAACAATGGATCTAAATTTCTATCTTTTCTTAAAAATACAAGCAAAGACAATTATAGTAGAAAGTTTCTTTTGAAAATGTTGCCATTTTAAAAACTCTATATAGTACCACTTTTGGTAGAAGATGAAATTCATTATTTTCTCTGAATTGTATACTTGATATTTTTTTGGAACATTCTTTTGATACTTTTTCTTACTTTAATGTCTAAAGTTACTAAAGTATTGGAACAAATAGTTTTGCCATCCAATTTGGTTACTTGATATTTTCTTAGAACATCCTTTTGACAATTTTTCTTATTTTGATGCCTAAAATTACTTGGATATTGGAACAAATTTTTTTACCATCTATATTGGTTACTTGACATTTTCTTCGATCACTCTTTTGACACTTTTTCTTACTTTTGTGCCAAAAATTACTTCAATATTGGAAAAAAAGTCTTTTGGTATCTTACTTGGTATGTATACTATGAATAGAAATATATGATTATTCTTTGAAAAGAATACAAATATAATTCAATCACTTTTATTACTTAAAATACTAAAAATATATAAATTAGATATTAATTTTAAATTTAATATTATTAGATAGCTTATATAATAATAATAATTATAACATAAAAAAGATAGAATTATATATTATATGAAACTAAAAAAAAAGATTAATAACTATTTAATTTAAAATTTTTGATATATTTATTCTATCAAAAAGAGGAGTTTTAAGATAAAGAAGATTTTATCTTATTTTAAGTATTGTATAAAAAGTATGAAAAAAACTTTTCATTGAAATTTTTTTATATTTTGTAAATATTACTACAATAATATAATTTTTGAAATTCTTTTAGAAATTTTAAATTTATTTAAAGATCTAATTTTAATATTTTACATTAACCATTGTATTTAAATATTCTTAAGCATTAATTAAATATTTTATTTATATTTTATTATAATATTGGTCTTGATACCATATTTCTTTATATATCATAAAAAAAGAAGCAATATAAAAGACATAAAAAGATGGAAAAAGAAGATTTATTTAAAGCCCTGAAAAGAAATATAATTTAAAAGGATTATTATATTGCAACATAATATTTGCAAAGACAAAGATGTCAATAAGAAGAATCTAAACAAAATATATATCTAAGGAGTTGTTAATGCCACACCTCAATGTTGTTAAAACCACATCCCACATTACCATTTAAAGATTAATTCTATCTATCTTCATCTCTACCCCTTATTCTGTCTTTTGTTCCTTGTTTTTAAAATGCATCTCTTCTTCTCTATCTCCATCCCTCATTCTTTGTCCTTCAAAATTTATCATCACATAGTTTAAGGATATAGTTGTAACAACAATGGAGTGTGGTTTTAATAACTTCTTATATATATTTTTTCATAAAAATAAAAATAAATTAAAATTAAAATTAAAAAATAAACAAATAAAGTGTACATAGTTTTTTATAATTAAATAATTTATAATAAAAATTAAAATATCATTTTATTTTTGTTAATTAATATAAGAAATATGATGTATTTTTTTGAGCTACAACATATATTAAAAATATAATTTGAAGATACATGTATTACTAATATATGACTAAATTATTATATAATATAGTGTATTATATTATTTTTAAATATTAAGTCATTATTTTTAATTAATTATTAAATAATCCATATAACAGTAAAAAAAATTTAATATTTAAGTTCAATAAAATCACTACCATTAAATAATTTTCTATTTTATAAATTAATCTTTATATATATATATATATATATATATATATATATGTATTTATATATGTATATATATTAACCAACTATTACCATTTTAAATAAATATAACAATATTCTATTTAAATTTCTACTATTATTATTTAGTTCAATTCTTTGTAAGAAACAAAAAATATATCTCAATTAAAGAATAAATTAACATTCAAACAAGAATTATTATATGGTCATATAATAAAATTATTTTTTTTAAATAAAAAAATTCAATTATTTTCATATCTATTATATTATTATATTTATAAACAATATGATTATAGATAATATTTTAAAGAAATTAATATTATTGGAAAATGCCATTTCATCTTCATGAATCAAAAAAACAATCTAATCATATCCTATGCATACTCTACTCCAATCAAAGAAGAAAGTATCTCTCTTCCAACTTTGATCAAAATCTATTAACACATAAAATTTAACAAAAATTAATAACCATCTATATTCCAAGAAAGAATGTTGTTGTACATAAAAAATAATTATTAAATGCTATTTAGCATATGCTTCATGAAGCATAACTTTTCAAATCATATTAAAAAGAAGTCGATACATATGCTACTTATTTCTAAATTATTTTAATATTTTTTTTTGACAGGCTTCCTTCCACTTTTTTTTGTTGTATCTTATATTCTTCATATCGATTGCTATATGTATTCTTTGTGGATTCCACCTTTTCATTTTTTTGCTACTTATATTGGCCCATCTCTACAAATTAGTCCCACTAATGTTACCACCCTATCTAATAGTCCATATCTATTGTCACAAATATATATATATATATATATATATATATATATAATGTAATAGAGTATAGAAAAAAAAAATTATATAGATAGTTAGAACCATAAAAGTTATTAGAATTGGAATTAAGTTAGAAGAACAAATAGGACCTACTTTGAAATATTCTAAAAGAATTTAGGATAGTTATTTAGATAGAATCTACTATAGAATCTTCTAAAAAAGGCTTAAGGTAGTTATCTAGATAGGATCTACTAATTAAGAACATCCTAGAAAGTCCAAGGTCGTAGGACAAGGTATAAATAGGATTGGCCAAGGTCTTTTGGGACATCTAGTTAGGTATGGCTTGAGACTCTTTTCTCTTAGTAAAGTTTGGTTTTGCATCCCTTTATTCAGTTCAATTTTGTTTTATTTTTGTTTGCTCAATTGTCTTTCATATCTTATTTTGTGTAGTTCCATTTAATTTTATTTTGGTCTCTTTTATCTTATTTTGTGATGAGATATTATATTGCTGTAGAATAGAAAGAACTTGAATTTTTGAGATAGTCTAATCATGTTTCATTGGTATCAGAGTGAGTATTAGATTGTTTATTTTTGGTAGCATATCAATAGTCATCATATAGTCCAAGGTTAGTTGTTATGGTCTTACTAGGTACTGTGTTGAGGCTACTAGAAGCTACTCTTAAAAAGACAATGAAGAAGTGAAAAGATATTACAATAATAGAATCCAATAGAGAAATTATAATATGGGAGAGATGGTAGAGCAATCCCAGATAGAAGCTCAGATATAACACCTCTTAGGCTAAATAGCTACTTTACAAAGGCAAATAGAAGCCTCGAGACATCTGTTAGGTTGAAATTGAGTAAGCCTAGTACATACTTCAAGACTTCAAGCCAAGAAGATGTATATCAATGACTCTTCAATATACAACAATATCTCCAACTATCTAGAACAAATACTACTAAAGAAATTATGTATGCAGCTAATTATTTGAGAGATATGATAGCTATTTGGTGGCAACATCAAGTTCAAAGCTATAGAGCTGAAGGTGGATTTTGTGACTAAGAGGAATTTGAGACTGGATTTAAGAATCAATTTTGGCCCATTAATGTGGAAAAGATAGTACGTGATTAGTTGGCAAATCTTACAGAAGTTAGTTTGGTATAAGTTTATATCTCTTGATTGAAGTTCCTATGTCTCCAAATTAGCAATGTTTTAAAGGCAGAGATGATGGATTAATTCCTGCTAGGTTTAAAACTTTGAATTTAGTGAGAGGTGGAGCTCAGAGATCCATAAACATTCAAAGAGATGATTTGGATTGCAAAGAGGGTCGATGCTATAGATTTCAAAAATCATGGAGCACGACTTATAATACAAAGTTTGGTGCCACTATCTAATATTACAAGACAACAACCAATGCTAATGGAGATTGATGCCTTACAAGGATCATTGATACTACAAAGACGACAAATATTGGTACAAAAATGATTGTATTTTTATTGTTGGGAGCTAGGCTATTAGATCAAAGGTTGTCAAAAATATCAAAGTAGAAGTATTAGCAAGATAAGGTGGTTTTATAGTCTCAAAACTCATCAAGTTGATAATGAGTCAAAACAAGAAAATGGGGCTTCTTAGTAAAAGCATGGGAGGCTAGTATTGGGAGTAGCTACTATCTCTCAAAGAAAAATAGCATATCCTTGAATAACTATAAAAAGAGTCAACTAGTGTATCTTATGGAACTATTAAGGGGACAACCATGTCGAATATTTGTAGATTGTGGCTCTACAAAAAATTATATTTCAACTGAAATTATTGATCAGTTTGGAATTAAAATCAAGAAAATCAAGGAAGGAAGTATATACCATATAGATGACTAAGAGAACGTATTGAATGAGATGTGTGAAGAAGAAACCTTCAGATTGACAAACATCTATATCTTAAGAGA